AATTTGGGAGCCTCCCAGTTAAGTGCCTTATTAATATTAGTATTGTCCCATTCTCCACCATTTGCAAATTCAAGGATTTTTTTAATCTAATTTCTCCAACAGGAATACTCCAACTAAATCTATACACATCTACTGTATTTGAATCCTACCAACCATGAGCACTTATAGAGCCACCTTTTATCATACTCTGTCCTCTCCGAGGAGTGATATTGATTTCCCCTTCGAACAAGCTCACCAGTACTGACTATCTCTGGAGGTTTCCATTTGTCTAACTTCTACATGTTCTAATACCCAGGCTTTGGCTCAACATCCTTTAACCCTTCATCAATACTTAGTACCCCGCTGTGATTGCAAATGGACATTAATCACTCTTGCATCTACTCTGCAGATAAAATTGCTGTATTTGTTCAATCAGCAGTTTTGCTAGTAAATTCAGTAAAAGGAAATAAAAGCCCTTCTGCACATATTTTGAGACTGTTCATTTTGAGCTTTTTAAATGCTTTCAATCATGTCATTTTCCTACATTAACCAAGCTCAGTCCACTTAGGAGAAATGGGAACAATAGCCTCCACCAAAATCACCCAAGAATAAATATGCATTCCAGTAGGCTTCCCTCCCCCTACTTCCTTGTGCAATGGGTACCTTTTCAAACCAAGGACTCCCCACTCTTGGGAAAAAGGGCCTCACTCCTTACAACCTTCAGCAATCAACTTTCTTCCTATTCAAAAGTCTCACAGGGATCTTTTGATAAAGACTTTAGGACCTCATAGGATTGTGGTAGCATTTCCAGGTGCTGGTGGGCTCCCCATACCAGTCCCAGATGCCACATCTGCTCCTTTACCAACTCCTGGCAAATGCATCCCTTCCTTATCATTCCAACAGTGCCACATGACCACACCTGCCCAGATTCCGTGATGAAATCACTCACTGAGCCCGTGTTCTTTGGGACTCTGAAACTACCTATGATGCCGCATGGGTTACTGACCTTAATCCCTCAACTCCCCAGTGTGGATTCCAAAATGTGTGTGGTTTCCAGTAACGTTTGCATTAATTCTGAAAATCAATGTGTATTGGAAATTTATGTTCATGAAACATTTTTCATGAACACTAACAGCCTAGAAACAAAGGGTCATTAATTCTCACACTATAAATGCAGTGAGGGTTTTCAGCCACTAAATTAATTCATCCAATTGTCTATGGAGCAGTTGAAAAGATGATACACACCAATATTCAGAAAAACAGCAGTTAAGCTGAGGAACCTGGATATGAACCAAAAATGTGAGGAAAAAAGGTATACAAGTGTAATATATATATATATATTTTTTTTTTTTCAGTTATTTCTAATAGATGGTTTATTGGGAACTCTCGAAGCATTTTTCAAAAGAACCTGATGGGTTTTATTTAATAAGACATAGTAAAGAGGAAATGGTTTAAAAGATGTTATCAATCTTTTATTTAACTAAGTACTGCCCTTCATTTTGAAGGAAATGATACAATTTCAAATCAGAACTTCCTTCTCAAGAAGTGGTATGAGAACATTAACAGAGTTAACATATAACCTTCAACAAAATTAAAGTTTACACAGTTCACTGAGAAATAAAACACATGTGGAAATTATCGTGTTCATCAATGGAACTCTTCATGGTTACAAGTATATTGAAGAACAAAACAACACAATGAAAAGTTTACAGTTACCCTGATTTTCAAAAATCATAAATAAAATATAACTTTTCAGACTAATCCATTCAATGACCATGATCATACTAGATTTTATTTCAATTTACTGATATAAAAAATGGTTAGACAATCACATAATATCAAGAGTCTTCGACACAGTGGATTCCATTTTGTTAAGAAAAAAATAGAAAACAAGTAATCCTTAAATTTTCTTCACTCTCCATAGCATATGTCGTATAAAATTAAAGTTTTGCTTCCAAAAATATGTTTCCATGTGGTTTGTTGTGTTGTCTAGTGGTGCTATTAGGGTTAGAAGCACCAACAACATGAGAAGTTTAACCACTGACAGGTCATTTTTCATAAAATTTTCCTTACAGGTCTGGAGGAAAATCTTCTGCTAGGCATTTTAGCGCTCTAGTTATTTTAAATTAAATGTGAAATAAAAGCTACAAAAAGTTGAGTTCTTGCAGTACAAAAAGTTGTGTGGCTGAAGTGGTGGGCTCCTCGGACATACATAAGCAGTCCCATAAAATAGCTGCTCAGTAAGAAAATAGAATTTGTTTGATTACACTTAGCATATGCTCCACTCGGGTGTCCTCTATCCCTGCCAGAGCCTCTGAAGAATCTTAGAATCGATATTCCTTTCCTTCAAAGAGCATCTGTAATTCAAAGTACAAAATAGTTCTAAAGTCTTAATCCTAAGGAGAAACAAAAATTATTAAATATATATGTATATTTTAAGTGCCAAATATAGCCACTGCCTAGAATCAAAAACTCATCGACAACACTGCCATGTTGAAGAAAGAGCTGAGAGCAGATTCCTTTCTCCTTTCTTGGCACCTCTGCTGGTTGGTTGTTGCTCTACTAAAGCTTTATGAGCCTACAAAAACTTTCGATGGCATCACAGTTCCTAAGTCTTACATATGTCACACCTCTGGTACCCTGTACGAAATGCTTGACATGGGAAAGCAGCACATGGAGTAGATGTATTTCCTCTTCTGTCACCAAAAACCTGTTTGCTAGAGGCAGAATGTGACCTTGGTGTAGATCTTACCATTCTTCATCACGTTGACCCTTCTCACAGAAAGCAGTTTGTTAGCAACAACAGATAGTCGCCGCTATACCTCAATGTGACCAATGACATTCACTTTCCACCTGAGAGCAAAGGAGGGAGACAGCGATGGGGGAGTGGGAAAGAGAGCTGGCTGGCTAGCCCAGAGCTGCTGGGCAGTATTGCTTGTTCTTCCTTCCTGCTGCCTGCACATTAGTCATTCCTTCCAACTTTTACTCCTGTGCTCAACATGAAAGAAAGCCCAAATCTCTTAGGTAGAGCAGCTCTCCTCAATGCCTATACCCATGTTTCTCTCGCTCCGCTTTTCCATGAGCAAGACAACATAAACACTAAGTGGTACTAAACAGGGAAACTAGACTCACATTCCCAACAGGGGATGCATGGGTCTCTAAAGATGCAGGCTGGGGCCGAGTGTGGTTCATCTTTAACGGAGTGATTGCACCTGTCTGGAGATGCCTGCAAAAGCAGGGGACATAGATAATGACCTTGCAATGAAATGACGTCATGTGAAGGTGCTATGAAGTCTTAAAAATTATGGCCTCAAATGCCAAGCCTGAAAAAAATATACAAGGACATCCTTCAAGTCTTGTTGCCTTGATTTAGAGATGTCCAGGCAGGAGGCCCAAGGATGACCACACGGTAGACTCAAACAGGATTCTACTCCAACCATGTGAGAATTAGGTCGCAAAATGACATGTTCAGTGTATCTTCAGTGTCATCTCTAATGACTCCTAAGGGAAAGAAAAACTCAGCTCAACTTCTGAGACAGCGTTAGCCATGTCATTGTGCAGCAGAGCCGCGTTCTGAAGCCCAGGACACACATCATGAAAGAGCTCACAGGAACACAAGGAACAGGTTGTAAAAAAATGTTTAAAGCCTCATCGTAAAGCAAACCAGCGCTCAGCAGGAGATCCAACGAGTATTAGCCAACCTGCTGCCAACAGAGCCCACAATCAGGAACCAATGCTTTAGGAGTGTCGTCAGAGTTGGCACTGACTTACACCACGTGGCATTTGTGACTGCAGTCAGCTCTCTGGGGAAGGCATTCTGAAGGGGTGTCCTTTCCCAGCACCAAGGAGACTGCTTCCACATAAAAAAAGATTTTTGAACTAGGTGTGCATCAGGTGTCGCTGCCAAAATAAATATCTTATCACTGAAGTATGCCTCGGGCCTAAGATTTTAACAGCAGAAGAACAAAAATGAGAAAGCCTTACGTTTTAAAAAGGTCACCTTCCTTGTTCAGGAACGGGGTTCAGTGGGAGTGATTGGCTAATTCCTGCCAGGACAAACCTGTTTGGCTGCTTCTGTAGTGGACACTTTATGGGGTGGCCTGCACCAGCCAATCCCAGGTGCGGCCTGCGGATGAACACAGCCTGAGCAGGTTTAATTAGATCAGAGACACAAAAGGCTATTCCCTCCGTGGATAACGAGGAACACAGCTGTAAATGCCTACAATCGCAGGCTAGAAACAAAGGCGGCCAAACAGAGCCATAATTGAATCCTTCCCCTGGCCGGCCCATGACAATGATTTACTTATAACCCGGGAAGTGGCTGGTGGAGCAGGCGGGGGTAGGAGGCTCGGCCAGCTCCAGAGATGAATTACGTGGGGCTGGGGAGGAGGGAGGTAGCAAACTCTTTGTTTTGTAGCTCAAGTTTACTGGACATTTTGTTCCGCTTCACAGGCAGCTGCTGGGTTTTTGGACTGTTGCTCCCAGAAGCTGGTCCTGGTTTCTCCAGGCTTGCATCCCAGGAGTCCCGTAAAACAAACCGCTCAGCCTCCTGGATCCCACACACAGCTCTCTGCTGGCCACAACCCCACTCTGGCCTTAGGACAGGGCATCCTCCAAGCCCAGGGTAGGGGGCAATGGCAGGCCTTGGTACTCGGAACTTCTCTCCACCCCTGTGTGCATAAAAAGGGTGGATTTTGGAGCCAGGTCCAGCAGGGACTTAGCGTCAGGCATGTCTACAATGTGCCCCACCTCAGAAAGAAGACAGATTGCGAGAGTGGGCAAGCCATGCCCCCAACCAAAGTTTTCTTCCTACCTGCACCCTCTTCCTCCTCCTCTGTCAAGAATAACAAGCTCAAGCCACAGCTGGCTGCGCCTTTCGCCAACTCTCTATTTTCCAAACGGCCCAGGAGCCCAGATGGGGCCCAGAAGGGGCCCAGAAGGTGAAGGTAGAGGAATGGAGAGAAGGGGCAGCGGGCTGCTGGCAACAGCTTCCTCTCACAGATCTGCATCCAGCCTGCCCATCAGTGCACCACCGCCACTCGGTCCTCCTCCTCCTCCTCCCAGCAGGGCTCAGGGGGGCGCTCGAGAGGCGGCTTAGTCCGCGCAGCGTCGCCGTCGCCGTCGCCCTCTTCCGGCTCGGCCGGGTGCAGGTGCATGGCGAGCTCCTGCAGCACCGCGGCGCGCCCGATCTGGTCGTTGCGCCGCTTCTCCATGATCAGGTCCTCCAGGCTCTGGAACTCGAGCGTGTGGCTGCGCTGGGCCGCGAGCTGGATCTGCAGGCGGTAGGGCTGCTTGCCGATGCGCAGCTCGCCGCCGATCTTGAACTCGCGCTTGCCGTAGCGGCACCAGGCGGCGAAGCTCTCCGAGTTGCGCCAGCTCAGCTCGCGCTCCTTGGCGCCCACGTGCGCCAGCGCGTTGCGCACCACGGCGGCGGGGCTGAGCGGCTTGTAGCGGTACAGCTCGTTCACCACGCGGCCGCGCCGGCCCTGGCTCGCGTCGGTCAGGAAGCTGTGGCTCACCTCCAGCCGGTGCAGGTGCACCACCTGGAAGTTGCCCACGTACACGGCCCAGTGCGGGTACTGCGCCTGGGCCACGAACTCCACCAGGTCGCCGGGCTTGCACTTGTTGAGCAGGTTCTCGGGCGTGTAGGTGCTCAGCGCGGCGGAGCCCGGCGCGAAGCTCTTCTGGTAGATGCACTCGTCGCGGTAGAACACGGAGCACTCCACCTCGTGCAGCCGGGGGTCGTAGGGCTGCGGCGGGGGCCCGTCCACATCGCCTGGGGGCGAGCCCCCGCCCTCCGGAGGACCCTGGGGCGGCGGCGGCTGCGACTCGGCGGCTTCCTCGTCGTCGTTGGAGAAGATGTAGGAGACCCCGATGCGAGGCCCGTCGTCCCGGTCCACGCCGGTCGGGTCGGCCGTGGGAACTTCCTTGTAACTTAGGTGGGTCAGCTTCTCCACCTGGTTGCCCATCACGCCGCTGCGGACGCCACGCGTTCACGCCGCCGGGAGGGGGGGAGAAAGCGAAACCACCACCGGGCTCATGGGCACCGGTGCCCGCGCAGGGGCTGGCACCACCTGTTGGGAGAGGAAGGCAAGGAAGCCCCAGAGGGAGCCCCTCCGGGGAAAGGACCGCTTGTTAAGGGGCGGGAGAAACGTTCGGATCAACACGGTGGCGGCGATCCTCCCCTCCCTCCTTCCTCCCCGTTTCGGGTCCGGGTTTCAGGAAGCCGGGCACCTCCAGCGCCGCCCCGCCCCCAGCCCTGCACCGCGCCCGGGCAAAAGTCCACGGCTTCGGCGGCTCCTCCCGCTTCCGCCAGCGCCCTAACCTGCGAGGCCCGGGCAGCGGGGGTCAGGAAGGGAAACTTTACCCCGGCGCCCCCTTGCACAGCCCCGCTGGCACCCCAGGGCTCTAACTGAACCCCAGAGACCGCCCTCGCTCCTCACGCCTCCTTCCCCGGGGAAGCGAGCGAGGAGGGCGCAGCGCAGTCCGGGCAGGTGAGCCCCGGGACCGATCGGACTCACCTGGGGAGCTCCCTCCTCCGCCTGCCTCCCTCCCCCCCTCCCTCTCTCCCTTCCCCCGCGTGCCCTCCAGCTCGGGTTCCCTGCGCACACTCACCCGCCAAGAGGTGGAGTCGTGGGGGCCGCCGCACCCCGAGACTTCTAGGGCGAGTTTGCAGGTGCGGGCTCCCCGGTCCCTCCTCTCCCGGCGCGGGCGGCGGCGGAGCTGGACGGCGGGGAGCGCCGCATGTCTTGCCCCCTCGGCTACTTAGCGCCCCGGGACTTGGAGGTGGAGGGGGGGAGGGCAATGCCTGTTCACTCCGAACCTCCTGCTGGGGTGGCCGTGCCCCCTCCGCCGGCTCCCGGGGGAGGTGTGGCGCGAGGAGGAGGAGGAGAAAGAAGGCGCTCGGCCACCCGGCCGGGCGGCGGTGGCAGCTCCCGCGAGCAACAAGCGCCGCCGGAGCGGGAGGAACGGGATTGCAGATCCGGCTCCGGGCTCCCCGGGCGGGCGGGAGCGCAGCCCCTGGCGCTTAAAGAGACAGGCGCCGGCTCCCGAGCCCGGTCCTTCCAGCCGCACGGCCTGGAGCCTCCGGGATCCCCCGCCCCGGCCGGCCCACCGAGGCCGCGAGCCCCGCCCAGGCCACGCCCCCGCGCGAGGCCGCTTTAAATCCCGCCGGGGAGCTCCGGGCGCGCCCGGCCGAGCGGCTGGCGCCCTGGGCGCAGGTGCCTGGCCGGCCGCTGGGGAGCCCCGCGCGCCCCCTCGGAGCGGGGCCTGCGGTGGGCACCGCGGTGGGCACCGCGCTGCTGGCTCGGTTCGCATTCTTCCGAGCTGCAGGCTTTGGAAACCGGTGGTGAGGCTGACGCCCCCTCCCAGTGCAGCGAGGAGAGAGAGAGAGAGAATAAGAATTGACTGCTTGTTTGCTTTCACCCTTGGCCTTCTCTTTGCCAGAGTACCTGGACAGGGAGGGACCGGCCTTGGGAAGCAAACAGAGGTATTTTCTTTCCTAGAACATATTTCTGCCAATGATCACAGCGAAGATTTTTTTTTTTTTTCTTTAGTGGAACAGTTCAAGAAGTGTGCCAGTGTAGAGGTATTTCCAGAGTGAGTGCTGTGAAACTTTCGGGGAGGAAAACATTTCATAGAAAGGAATCAGTGTAAAGCGAAAGGGAGACTTCATTCCTGGCTTGCCTCCAGGACCAGCGCTGTGTTTATTAGATGTCCCTAGAAGTTGGCAAAAAGTTCCTTTCACAGCCTCCTTTGTTTCCAGCCACTAGTTGGTCTTGTAGTGAAAGAAAGTATTCAGCTCTTTCTTTGGTGAGGGGAGAAAGGATGTAGGGAATTGCCTTAGTTCTTAAATTAAGAACAAATGAGCAGAGGCCCCTGGTGGATATACTTCCTTCCAGCTGGTTTACAGAAGGAAGTGACAGGAAGAGATTTGCAGAATGAGAGGAGTATTGCCTATGACCTCCGCAGCAAGAGGACACTTCCTCCCTCCCCCTTTCCTGCCTGTTGGTGTTTTGTACCTAAGATGTAGGCCACTAAAAGATTCTTTCTTTGTTAATTGAAAAAAAAAAATAATGGATCTGAGTGGGGTGCAGGGTCCACAATAGACAAGCTTAGGTATTCACTGGACCACCCTAACTAATTGGTGGTGTAATTAAGAATGCAACTCAAGACCTCCTCTACCCAGTTTTCCATCACTGCTTCTTTTGACTAAGTTTTTCCAGGTAGCACCATTATTTATTCAGTGTGTGTACCAACCAGTGGAAACAGCAATATACTAACACTGTTGCAATCCTTTTCCGTTTGGGGGCAGGGATCAATCTTCTTATGTACTGTTGGGCCCGAATAATCAATATTAGCGGGGCTAGAATGGAATTGAGGCCTTCAGCAAGTCTAAGATCACAGCATAAACAGACCCAAGGAAAACCGGCCCTACCTGGTTTGGCTCAGTGGATAGAGCAGAGGACTGAAGAGTCCCCAGTTCAATTCTGGTCTAGGGTACCAGCCCAGGTTGCATGCTTGATCCCCAATGGTGCAGGAGGCAGCTGATCAATGGTTCTCTCTCATCAGTGACGTTTCTATCTCTCCCTTTCTGAAATCAATAAAAATATTTTTTCCAAAAAAATAAAAAGAAACTTCTGTGCAGGTTAAATTTATGTAAGATCCCACAAGCCTTAGGCAAGCGTGACTAGATGAGACACACACACACACACACACACACACACACCACCACCACCACCACCACCACCACCTGTTGAGATAAACAGTGCTGTGGAAGCTGCCATTATCTGAATGGTATTTGTCACTATCCTGTGAGCTCATGTAGGGAGGAGTGAGGCTTAGGAAAGCAATGGCCAGTACCCCCAGATCTGTTAGACTGGGAAGCCTTTGCTCCCATCAGCTATGTTTGGCCACTGGGTAGGCTGACTGGCGATGAGAGAATCCCTAGGACACAGGAATATGACCGTGTGTAGCCAGCACTCTGGGGTAAAGATCTAATAAGGACAAACACTGTGAAAAATAACATAAACAAAACCACTTCAAAATAGTCCGTGGGAGCTGTCATCCCAGAGGAACTGCCTTGCTGTCTTATCCCTCAAATCTGTGGAAGGTTAAAACTGGATAAAGTAACCTTGGCCTTGGCCTAAAGCAGCACTGTGTTCCAAATAACTTGTGTTGTTTTTCTTTATGACTTAGTTAAAATCTTTTATTTTTATATTTTTCCTTTATAAACTTTATTGAAATACAACTCACATACATTAAATGATATCCAATTAATTTTAGTATATTCACAAAATTGTGCAAATATCACAGTAGAATTTTAGAATATTTTCATTATCACCCAAAGAAACCCCATACCCATTAGCAGTTACTCCTCATTTCTCCCACCTGCCCCAGACACCCACTACTCTACTTTGCCTCCATATATGTCTTGACTATACATATAAATGGAATCATATAAATAGAATCATACAGTAAGACATGTCATATAAATGGAATCGTACAATATGTGGCCTTTTGTGACTGGCTTCTCTGAAGGAACAGTTTTTCAAAGTTCATCCCTGTCACAGCAAATGACTATAGGGATGAAGGCTGAAGGCATTCTTTAGAATTTACCTGCCCCTATAATAATTCCTTCCTTGTATTCGTGGAACTGCCGCTGAGAGGTGGGAAGCTTTGGGATTTTGAGGTGGCATTCAGGCTGCTCTGTGGAGAATGAATGAGAGGAGGAAATTCCCATAGAGAGCCGGGAAAGGTCACACAGATGGAGCCTAGCAAACAAAGGACAAAGCCCCGGAAGGTTCTTTTCCCAAGAAGTGTTAGTTGAATTTGAATTCTTAGCTGTGCTATGGCTTTATCCCCCCACACCTCCTCCATGACCCAGCCCAGAGTCACATCCCACACACCTCCTCAGAGAATGCACCCAATAAAACAAGTAGTGTTGAATGGCAGTTGGTGACTCACAGTATTTCTCTCCAGGGCAGTGGGGAATGGTCAAGAATTGAAGTTTCTGCCCCAGAGGCAAGGGTGTGGACCCTGTAGATGTGCTAGAGATCTCATTTTAGATGGGTAGTTTAAGAATGTACAACCCTAGCCAATTTGGCTCAGTGGATAGAGCCTCGGCCTGGGGACTGAAGGGTCCTGGGTTTGATTCCGGTCAAGGGCACATGCTCAGGTTGTGGGCTCCATCCCCAGTAGGGGGCGTGCAGGAGGCAGGCAATCAATGATTCTCATCATTGATGTTTCTCTCCCTTTCTCTCTGAAATCAATAAAAATGTTTTTTAAAAAGAATGTACACAATAGGCGCATCAACAGCAGAAATGTGTAATTATGCAATCTAGAACTCTACCTGTGCCACCACCACCCCTCCGCCCCTGTCCCCAAGCTGTGCCCCAGGTTCATAGCAGCAGCAGGTTGCTGAGTGGGTTTGCTGGGAATTAGGTTTCTCTGCACCTCCCTTACACCAGGAAACTCCCAGACTTACCTGCATCTGTTATCTGCTGCTGGGGTTTTGCCCAGACTTCAGGAGCTGAGAGGTAGCAGGATGGATGGAATCTGATGGCCCAGATTGAAGTTCTGTTTGCCAAGTGCATGGCCTTGGAGCTGTCTCTTCTCCACTCCGGCCTCCTTTCCCATCTCTAATGTGGGACTGAAGCTACTTCTCTGCTCACTGTGAATTCTCAAATGAGACCGTGTATGTGGAAACACCTGGTAAACCCACAGGCAGTGTAGAGATGCCTCAAATGATTCACATACCATGTAAGAGCCAGATGATGGTTTTAATACGGGAGCAACACCTGGGATGGGGCCATCCTCTTACTAAATCCTATCTATCCTGGTGTTTGTGTTCTCAGATAAGAGTACAAAAGGGCAGAGATAGGAATCTTGCTGGTTTCCAATCTGCCTGATTTCAAGGCTCCTTTCTGTGCTGTGTCACGCTGCCCCGGGGCACCGGCCTGCGGGTTCA